ATACATAGAATGTCTTTTCTAATGGTTTTCTTTAAAACCCAGGAGTGCGCAGAAGCACCTTGCATTCTGATGGGTTGATGTTGAGGCGGTCTGGACCGAATGTGTAGTCCCACAGGTGCAGCATGTCCTCCCAGCAGCGCACCCTCCCATTCTCCATGGGGTAGGACACCTCCAGCATGGAGCGGCACTCGCTGGCCTCGTCCCCCACCATCAGGTCCTGATAGAAGAGATCAGATTTTATAGAAATACAAATTGAAATATGTTTTTGTTTCTGAAAGGGGGGAGAGTTGGACCTGTGAGCGATGTTAATACGCCCCCATCTCCAGTACCTCTACTTCTTAAACCTCACTGTTTCACCTGTCACCCTCTCATTCATCCACATTTCATTCCCTTTTGCGTCGAAGCATAAATCTACCTCTCCAGGCTATCTTCCACCTGCTCCCTCTCACTACTCATCACAGTGTTTTCTGCTAACATAAGTCTATGGGGACTGTTGCCTGATACTTGATCCGATCCAACCCCAACTTGTGAAGAGACAGTTTAGGTATTTATTTAAAACAACTACTTTTACCCTTATTTTGACCTTTGTTACTGCATTAATATTAGAAGCAACACACTTATTTTTCTTTTTTGGGAAACATCCTGAAAATTCTTATATCTTGATAATCAAATAAAGGCTAAAGCTGTCAATACAAAAAAATATGTTCCTACTAAACTATTCATCAATCTGCTCCACCAAATGATTCAACACAATTCCCAAGAGATTAGAAGGTTTAAATATCAGCTCAATCTGGTTTATTTGTGTGTATGAACTTAAAGGGGTAATCCAACATTTTTCAGTCAGGTCATCTGGACAGTTTATTTTTCTTTTCTTCAAAAAAAGAAACTTTCCAGATGACCTGACTGAAAAATGTTGGATTATATACCTGGATTATTGAGCATGGACTTTGTTAAAGGGGAAATCTGTTGATTTTACAAGTGATATTCTGTCACATAGTTATTAGTCCCTTAGTACTATAGAATAGAGAAGTTTTACTTCAGTCTAGGCTAAAGGCTAGCCAATTGGGGGCTAATTCTTTGAAAACTGTTTTCAAGGCTTATAAAACAAGGTGTTCCCCCAAACAACATACATAATACAATTTTAGCTCATATTAAACCTCTACACTGACTGACATCATTATTGTTGCCGTCTTCTCAACAGAACATCCATGTTACTATACAAATGTACATGTGTGCTGAACATAGACCATTATATGCTGATGATGCTGAGGTTGTGTATGTATCAGTCCACCAGAAGGTGAGTAACTCTTTGGGAAGGGAAGTCTGAGATTGTCATCATCGTATGTTCCCATACAATGGTGAAATTAGTTCTCTACGTTTAACCCATCGCAGCTGAGATGCACCCAGGTGGAGCGGTGGGCGCCCAGAGAACAATTAGGGTTAGGTGTCTGCCCACTGCTCCGTATCTCAGGTGCGATGGGTTGAATGCAGAGAACTAATTTCACCATTGTATGGAAACATACAATGATGACTATCTCAGACTTCCCTTCCCTTTAAGGTGGATGAACAAAACATGGGTCAGACTGGTATCAAGAAGAACAAGTCTGCACAGATTCTCCCACTTCTCAACCCTTTTGTTTGAAAAATGCAAGTGAAACATATTAGTTATATTTCAGTTTGCATGTATTTAGCTTACAAGGAACCAGACTTTCTTTTAAATTTTTGGCCCTCTGATACATTATAAAGTGCCTTTTGAAAGTGTTGATGCTCATTGTTATAGATTTGCATGAAGTAAATTTATACTAGTCCTAATATATGAGAAACCAGATCAGATGTGTGGCTCCCACCTTAATCTCGATGTTGCCCACTTTGGTGGTGGATCGTATGATTGGTCGACCCACCAAGGCAGGGAAGATGTGCTCAGGGAAGTTGGACCCAGCGAAGCCGCACTTGACAAACTGCAGGGAAGTGAAAGAGAAACAAATTAAGTATGTTGTTCTTGTGTTTCTACAGAATAAAGCTCTCTTTTCTACATGCTGACTGAAACTGAGACTTTTCCCAGCCCCGAGCACTTTTAAAATAACGGTCTGACTTTTCTAGCCATGCTGGAGTTTCAAAATAAGATCATCTTATGTTAAGAAGTGCTGGAGTTTTTAAGGAAACCTTGAAAAAAAGTAGTATCCAACATTG